TGGACCATGTGGTTTTGGGACTCCATGATGATCCTACCAACTAACACAATGTGGAAATTAAGTTCGAAGGTCATAATTTGATTTTACTGAACATGAACATCGTATATATTATCATGGCAGCATCTGTAGCTATGATTCATGGCTCCTATACTATTTTTAACAATTAGATGTTTATCATGCTAGTGTCCTGTCATATCGATATCACATGTCAATCGTGTGCTTCCTAAGTGAGGGATATATCTGATACTTTTGTGTCAATTGGCTCCAAGGTAAGGGCTGCTAAAGGTTAAGGTCTTATGAAAGGAAAATTCTATATTCTGTTCACCATGTTTAGCCCGTTAATTTCCTCATATATAATGACTATCAGTTTTCAAAGCAAATTACATAATACTAGAATCAGCCCGATGACTTAATGCAGTTGGGAAAATAATGTAAGGAGAAGAAAACGATCCATGGAATGAAAACTAAGTGCATGTGATTACATATAAATTAAAAAACATCTAATAATCAAATAGAATTAAAAAAAAAAGATAACAGGCCACATACAGGAGAAGAATTCAGCCATACAGCATACCTGAAGCAGTTTTACAAACTCCCCAGGTTCCTTAGCGAGTCGCATTCCACGCCCTCCACCTCCGGCAGTTGCCTTCACATAAAAAATTTAAAAAGAAAGGAATATTAGTAAGTACTCTTGTTGTACCAAAAAAGACTTTCTCAGAGTAGAAATGTTTAGTCATGTAAAACCAACAGCATTAGATTACAAAGAAGAATCCAGCCTCTAAGAATTGGTTGACTGTCACCGAGGAATCAAATTATATACATTTAAAGTTAAGTAAAAAAGAGGCAGAAGCAAACAGGTATATTACGTAGTTCGAACTCATTGGTAACCTGGTAGCATCATTTTCTCTTTCTAACCATGCTATAGAATTTTTCTAAGGACAAATTTTGAAAAACGACTCATTTTTAAATTTAATAGGCAAAATCGACCGTGTAACAATAAAATGAGCAAAATCGACCATTTTTTGCACGGGACTACTAGTCCCGTGCAAAAAAGGGTCGCTTCTGCATAAAAAAATTTGTCCGGTCCTCAACCCATCCCCTCATTCCCCCCCTCTCTCTCTCCTTCATTAACCCATCCCCTCTCCATCTCTCTCTCCCTCTCCTCCAATCCCACACCAGACCCCCTCTCTCATCTCCGTTCCCTCTCTCCATCTCTCCTCCCTCTCCCTCAATCCCAACAACAACCCATCACCCCTTCTCTCTCTCCTCCATTCCCCAAACACCAGCCCAACCAACTCTTCCACTTCCACCGCCCAACGCCCCTCCTCCATCGCCATCGGGCCGCCCAAGCCGCGCCCACCTCCTCGACCTACACCCGACCACCTCCCTGAGCCCAAGCTCCGACCCGAGCCCCCCTCTCCCTCCAATCCCCTTCTCCACCGCCTCCTCATCATCTCCACCACCATCAGCCCCGACGCCGCCGTGAACTCAACTCCACCTCCTCCGCCAGCTCGCCGCCGCCGCTGTCCTCCGTTCCCCTCAGCCCCGACCATGCTACCACCCGCCGCCACGTCGAGCCGCGCCACCACCCAAGCCCTCCCCCGCTGTCCAGTGAAGGTGTCGGTGCTGGTGGTGCAGCAGTGCAGGGGGATTTGGGAGGAGAGTGTTGGGGGGATTTGGGGGAGGAGGGTCGATTTTGATTTTTTTAACAGGATCGTCTTTTTTTTGGTGTGGGATTGGAGGAGAGGGAGAGAGAGATGGAGAGGGGATGGGTTAATGAAGGAGAGAGAGAGAGAGGGAATGAGGGGATGGGTTGAGGACCGGAGAATTTTTTTTGCGGAAGCGACCTTTTTTGCACGGGACTAGCAGTCCCGTGCAAAAAAGGGTCGATTTTGCTCATTTTATTGTTATACGGTCGATTTTGCCTATTAAATTTAAAAAAAAGTCGATTTTCAAAATTTGTCCTTACTTCATATTAGTCCTCCCGCTATTTATTTCTTCTACTTCTAAATAGCTAACTTTCTGTGGGATTAGTTGTTAACTGCGTACGCTGTGAGTTTCATTTCTACCCTCAGTTACTCACGTCTGGGGTTGATTCTAAAGCTGCACGGACATATAACTGAATCATAAGCGAAATTGTGTAACTACGTTGCTTTGAGGTGCGTATGAGGCTGGCACCATTTAACTTAAAAAAGTGCAACACAACAAGCTAGCACGCAAACAGCAGCAGCAACTGCATTTAACTCAATTCTTCTTCTTTGCCTCTCATTTCCTAGATCACACAAGTTCCTGAAATAAGTCCATAACACAACTATTCATAATACAGAAAGTGCTTTGGCCATCGCAGAGAGCAAAACATTAGGAAACACTTGCAAATTATCAGGAGGCAATTTTGTAGGGTTTGGGGTCAATAAGAAGGGATTTTACTCCAATAAACCAGTTCGATACACATTTGAGGCTTCTATACCTCGTACTATCAATGTACAAAGGACCTCCTTTTCATTTAGAAGCACCGAAGTAACACATAATACATTGATCCGAGCTTCTCCTCAGCCTCGCCGATGACTCCTCCAACAGCCCCGACGTCCCCTCCTTCTTTGCAGATCCGTGCGGTCCGAACCCACCACGTCGCTTCCCTCCGACCAGATCCACCACCTCCAGCAGATTCGCCCCGCTCCTGAAGAACCGCAAGCTCGACACGTTCTACTACGTGAGCATGAGCGGGATCAGCGTCGGCGGCGAGATGCTCTCCGTACCCCCGTCGACGGATTTCGGAGCGAAGGTGTCGGTGCTAGTGGTGCAGCAGTGCAGGGGGGTGAAGTGAGGAGAGTGTCGGGGGGATTTTTTTTGCAGAAGCGACCCTTTTTTGCACGGGACTACCCTTTTTTGCACGGGACTAGTAGTCCCGTGCAAAAAAGGGTCGATTTTGCTCATTTTATTGTTACACGGTCGATTTTACCTATTAAATTTAAAAAAGAGTCGTTTTTCAAAATTTGTCCTTTTTCTAATGCCACCTTTGACCCTCCGTGTGACATTCTTTGGACAAAGCCTGACCTCCTGGTATTATGAGATATGTTTGTGTCCTGTTAATCTCAAACTTATATTCTCACATATTTGTAAGAAGTTAACTGCTAAAAGAAAATTCTAAGAAAATATTCATCAGCAGAAGCCAGGATTCACAGGAAACCTAGTTAAATGCAACACACTCTCCTGCAACCTCTGAAGCTTTGCTGCCAATGTGGACTGGAACCAGATAAAGCTGTACGTGGGGTTTCGGGCTCCGGAGAAATTAGGGATATGAATGCAAGTCGTTTATGAATTTTGAGATTTATATTAAAGTTTCAGTAAAATAAGACAGAAAAAATCCACAAGTCTTCTAATCTGAACTAGAGTTTCGATGGTTTAACTACTTTCTAGTTTCTACTAGTGCAAAAATCACAGAAACAACATACCTTTATCATCACAGGATAACCAATTTCATCTGCTAACCTGGTAGCCTCTTCTGTGCTCTGAAAATTTACAATTATACAGGAAAATAATGAATTAATAATTGATGCTTTGAAGTTTTCATGTCAATGAGATCTATAATATCAAATATAAGAACTTATTACTGCAAAGAATGTTTTACATAACCTGCAATAGTCCATCACTTCCAGGTACAGTTGGAACACCTGCTTTCTTCATTGTTTCCCTAGCAGTAGATTTATCACCCATAACCCTGATGCTGTCCGGCTACAGAATTCAATTTTGTCAATAATAATAATAATAATCCAAATTCAAGGACAAGAAATAAATGCATTTAAAATTCATGTTTGACTACCATCACTCATGATAGAGTCGAAGCAATGACTATGTCGTACAAGATACAGCCTCCTGAACTTGTAACTACTACGAAAAATATCATTCACCAATTCAAATATGTTCTCCCTAACCCCTGGACCAGACAAATTATGGCGGCCAATAGAAGCCTTTGGTTCCATCATGATGGATCGGTAGTAGAGCACTATTGTCAACAGTTTTCCAAGTATTCTGTTATATATGAGGTTTGAGAATAGGCTAGCACATACCAGGAAAATTTTAACTACCAAAGTAAAGTTTTCAATCTGATATCTCATTATAAGGCTTTCTAGGCTAAATACTTTTTTTAAATAAAAAGGCGAGCAGGCTTACACCTTATTTAAGTATTTCATTAAAAAAATAACTTTCAATGAACCAATCCTTACATTAGGTCCAATGAAGTTGATACCATGCTCTCTGCATATGTCTACAAAACCAGCATTCTCAGCAAGGAAACCATACCCAGGGTGCAACATAGTGCACCCACGGCTAACGGCAGCAGATAATACATTTGGAATAAACAAGTACCTGTGGATAAAAGGTGAATTGTTCAAATGTAGATATAAAACAATTGAAAAGGGGAGAGTAAACTAAAGGTCAATTGAAAAGGGGAGAGTAAACTAAAGGTTGCATTTCACAAAAGTACCACGAAATTTGTGGGACTTTGCACAACCATTCCATATACATTTTTATTGAGGAAGCTGCCATGAATTTTTACACTAAGCTACTAAACTATCATACTGAGGAGAATTAGATCAACCTTTAATGTGCATGGCATGTAACGTGTGTTGGACATTTTGCCCTTATGTACTTTATGTATCTTCTGTTTACCTTCTCTGTCTTCGTAGATATTAATAAGGGTAGTTTCGGCCTTTAATCCAAGATTACTGCAGTTAGCAACAAATTCTAATAGTTCACGGTATTTTTCTGCAGTTCTGAAAATTCATGGCAGTTGTCTCTAATCAGAATTGTTACTGTAACCCCAAAAGTTCATGGTAGTTTTGTGAAATCTACCCTAAATTAAGTAACTCCTTTGCTAGATTTTGAAAGTAAAGGAAAAACTTTGTCTTCTTACGATTGACTGCTTGGTGCTTCACCGATGCACACCGCCTCATCTGCAAGCCTCACATGAAGAGCATCCTGATCTATTGTGGAGTAAACGGCAACACAAGGTATCCCCATCTCGTGTGCAGTTCTAATAACTCGCACAGCGATCTCGCCTCGGTTTGCTATCAGAATCTTCTCATCTCCACAAGTTGTATTCAAAGCTCCGCCGCCGTTCTTAGATTTTCGTACCATACATATAGCTCTCTGCTTTGGAAAGGTCATCTTCTGAAAATTTGGAAATTTTCCAGCCAGGAAGCTGCATTGTGAACTCCTGATTCCTCTGGTTGGTCCTATGAATAACCCCTTTGAGAGTAAAGGTGTAAAAAATTAAAAAATTAGGCAAATGCCAAAAGCTTATGTATCAAGGTCAACACGTTAAAAAAAGTGAAGCATGAAAAGCACAAGAGTGCACAACGCAGATCATTTCTCATATGAAGCAAACTAAACCAAAACTAAACAAAATATCTCCGTCTGTAAATAAACGGAAAATAATATAAACTGGACTAAGACTTTAGTGCTTTAATTGCTGCAATTCTATAATTATTATACCAAAGCAACTCTTAACTGTCAGAAAGATAGATATGCAGAGATCGCCTTAAAGCTCACAGTTAAAGAAAAATACACGAACAAGTGATTATTTGAAGTTATCTTATCAATTTATGCTGAATCTAGCAGCTCTAATTTCAAGCATCCAACAAATTAAACCTAAGGAAAAAGCCAAAATCGAGTTTCCTCGAACGAACAAACTATCCTTTACATTAGCAACAAAATCATGCAATTAGCAGCTAAACTATCCATTGCAAATCGAAAACAAATCCAATATAGTTTTTCCATTACGCGTTCAAAAGTTTGAAATGAGAACTTAAAAATACAAACCATATGAAAAAGTACAACTAAACCTTCTACCCAAATCATCATTCAATCATATTCAGCTAACCAACCTTCCAATATACTTCCCCACCATAAAAGCATTCAACTACAGGCTCGAACGGTAATTCAAATTATTATCACAGACAGGATCATAAAGAACATAACACAAATCTTCTCTTAAATAACAAATATAAAACTTAAGCTCAAATTTCTATTCAAAAACACCTAAAAATCAATTTTTTTTAAAATGAGCAGTAATCTTACCGGAGCCAAGCACGCATGCTTGCTTACAATCATAGAGTCCATTCTCGGACTAAATCCCTACAAAACCAACAGAAAATTACAATTAAAACAAAACAAGAGCCACCCATTTCGGTTCAATCTCAAAAAAACTCATTTTGCTCATCAAAGACGCGAACTTGATACGTAAATCCGAGGATCTGGGACGAAAATTACCTTAAAAACTGGGAAATTTAGAGAGATTTGAGGGGGAAGATGAAGTGGGTTTACAGTGAGAGGGATTTTTAGAGAGAAAAAGAAGTTTAGAGATCGATGAGATCGAGGGGAGTCAGACCTTGGAAGCTCCGCTGCTTCAGAATGACTGGGTTTATGGTCTTCTCCGTAAGCAATTTTTTTTGCAAGGTTTTAAAAGCATAAAAAATGTCTGGTTAAATTTCAGAAACCCCCTCAACGTTGTACTTTACACAAAAATTCCTTTCAAAATTAGCCTCAGAAAGGAAAACAAATTAAAGGTTTTTTATGTTAGTCCCCCACATCTTTCATATTTTGAATTAGCCCTCTAAATCTTTAATTTTTGAAAATTAGCCCCTTAAATCTTTCAACCTTCGGCTAACTAGAGAGGCTAATTTTGAAAGACTTAAAAGAATTATCAGACAAATTTCAACATATATACTTCAAGATTTGGGGGATTGGTTTCAAAATATGAAAGATATGGGGAACTAATATAAAAAAAAACTAAAAGAAAACCTTGAATTTGAAATGAAAAGACACAAAAAAAAACAGAGCAAAATTTATTTTCTGATTAGTTTGAAGTAGCTTCCATATAAACTATTACATCTGGATATAACTATAGGCAAATACACACCCTTTTATTTTGATTCTAGATTTTCCACATATGATGCTATAGATTTGGAAGATCACTTTTGTCCACTAAACTCTCCAATGATTTTAGTTATATCCAGATTCAAATCTTTTTATTACTATATTTAACGAAAATAATTGCCACTTGTTGCAGGAAAGCAGCATGTTATAGTGATTTCTTATTTGCTTCTTTTTGAAAATAACTTCCACCTTTGACACTACTAATCTTGATGTATTATTGAAATGATCTTGAAAATAGTTACCTGTATGTAATTTTTACATGATTTTTTAATAAAAAGTTTCCAGGAGCTTTTTGAATCCCACAGGTAGGGGTGGAAATGAACCAAATAATTAATAAATGGTTCGATAATTGTTTGAATAACTATTCGGTCATATTCGATTCGATAGTTCATTTATCACTAAACAAATATTTTTTAGTATTCGAGTTTATTAACGAATAGAATTTAACCAGATGTATATTCGATTCGTTTGTCTATTAAATATTCGTTTAAAATTTGATCACAGTTTATTATTTGTATTATTGCACATATGATGTCATATTTTTAACTCACTTACTATTTCTACTTAAGTTTTATATATAGATTTTAAGACTTAAATAATCTTAAATCTGTTTTCTAATTAAAATTTTGATTTAAATATATATACATCATATATTATAAAGAAATAATTTTAATTTATAAATTTTAATACTATTTGAAAATTAAACTCTTTAGCGAAATAAATATACTTTGATATTCGATAAGTATTTGTGAATATTCATGAATATTTATCAAATACCAAGTATTCGAGTTCAAATTCGAAAAACTAGATATATGAATAATAGAGTCCGCATTCGAATTCGATAATTTTAAACAAATACAAATATGAACAACTTAGTATTCGATTCGATTCGATCATTTACCACCCCTACCCACAGGATAACAACTGACCCTACCCCTGATGTGAACTTGTGCAATTAATGCCATGCTTCTTAGCATTAAACAATATGAGTGCTTAGTGGTTGAAAATAATTAAGAAAAGTACTGATTTAATTTCTAAAAATTACTAATATCACAAATTTTGGAGTTCAATCAAATTGAGGCTACTCATTCTGTCTTTTTTCCTATATGGTTCTCTAATAATGAATTGCTAAAGGACTTTCACTATCTGATAAATTTTTATACATAATATATATTAGAAAAATATTTAAAATATCTCTTTTCAGATGTCCCAATAAGATAACTTACAGATGTCCCAATAAAATATTTAAAATATCTCTTTTCAGATGTCCCAATAAGATAACTTACAGATCAAGCAAAAACTAAGAATAAAAATAAAATTCATATTTCAACTAAGTTTGAAAAGAAAATTGCTACCATGTCAACTAGAATCTGGAAGTTATGACATCAAGAAAATCATACCCTGTTTTGTGAAGGTTTTTCCACTGTAATTGCATCATAATTGGAAAATTTTGACCAGTTGCAGTGTTTATTTCACGGCACCAAGTGTGACTTGGGATATATTCCAATGCAAATTATACTTGTAGTTCTTTTGAGCTGGAAATGGGGTTTAAGTTGCAAATCCAAGTGCATATCAACCCTCAACAGTTATAAGTAGAAGCACTTCAAATTGTAAAATTTAGAACATGAACACAATTACTGTAAGTACAACTATATGGATATCAATTGCAACGATAACAATTATAACAATTGTAGTGGCATTCAACTTGAACTTACATTAGCATTCGCCGTTGCAATGAATAATTCAGAGCAATCTACATGTCAAAATCCCTGCAAATCATCCTATAAATTACGAAAAACGTGATGATCCAAAAGCAACGAAGCACTTATTCGCATATGTTTCATTACTTTCTGAGTGGTTTCTCTTCTTGGATTAGTACATCACGAAGGTGTTTAGATATTATTAGCATACTGAACCAAGAATCACTCTAAACCTTGGTGCACTGATAATGCATGATGTAGGATAAGTAGATACTTCCACCTGACAGTAATTG